CGCAGTAATATAAAAGATAATGTATTTTAAACACGTAAATATTTTTTCTACTACAATTTCGCGATCAAAGTCTACAATTTCTTTACCTTGAAGACTTCAAATCACGCATACCTTTGAGCAGTGACGCCGCTATAAGCAAATCATATAAACGGCTACAAGAAAAAACCAAGATTTCTTTTATACAATTTTTAATTCTCTAATTCACCCCCGGCTCGAGCAAAAGCAGAGTAATTACCGTAAAAGGTCTTAAGCATGAATGTTATGACGGTGTTTATGAAAGTATTCAGCTCTAAGAGAAACATTTCGTATTTCCTTTTCGTCTCATGAATGCTCACCACACAATAAATTTTAAGTCTAAAAGAGCTATGAATTTACAGTTTTCCACTCAAAATAAATTTGGATGAACCAGCGGAAGTGATAGACAGGTACTTACACACTCATGGATCTTTTGGCAAGATAATAATTCAGAGGGAAGAAGTCGAATTTAATAGCGAGTTTAATGATACGTGGCCTGATTGGAAAATGTATGCTTATTCAGGTCGAGCGCGGCGCCCCTCACCCTTCGCCTCCGCACGGCTGATTTGAAATGAATGGTAATAATGGCCGGGCATCCCGCTCACATCGTTTTGTATGATTATTCCAGATTAATTATTTGTTGGAATTCTGCTCGCTAATTTTTCGGAACGGGATTTTTGCGCTTTGACTGACGTTTTAATTCTAACTCGTCATTGGGGTGAAATGTTTTTAAAAATTCGCTTCTACATGAATGCCGAAGGAATGGTTTGTTTACAAAGACATTTTAATTTCCCAGTTGAACCATTTTTAATTTACTAAACATTTCACGTTTGAGCCATGCCGGTAAAGATATTATCATCCTAACCAACTAAAAGAAATAGAATATGAAGTGAAAACTGATGTGCCCACTTACTGAGTCCCCTAAACATCTCGATGCCCGGGGTATTAAAAGAGTCACATAACCGATTTATCAGAGTGCATTTCTTATATCTGAATGTTTGTAAGAACGTCAATGGCAGGGCTCGCATATTGAGTCACGTCACAACGTTCCCAAGGGCCACTGCTGATGCGAATATCAAATCCCTGCCACCCCTTGACTCCATAATTCTCATCCATTATACGAGGGAAAACGACACCTACGTCCGTCATCTGCCACTCATGTCATGCATACAAAAGCAAAACAGTTAACAAACGTCATCGTACGTCGCAAATTATATCAATGTCCAGAAATTCTAAAAATATCTCATTAACGGTGTCACTTTCTTCATTTGTTTTCGATTGCATATTTTTTCAAAAGAAAAACAATTTTATTTGTATAATAGAGGTACTATTTTTGTTTGGCAGCCGCGCCGGTGTCAGTACTCCTAACTGGACTCTCCCAAGGGGCCTGAGCTGGCACATTCTGACGACTGAACTAAGTAGAAAGATAGAACAGAATTAAGCCGCCCAATTATCCCGTATTGGATTTATTGGTAATCTCTGCACGAATGGCCACGAGGGTGCGAACTGAACCAACTTTTGATGATGCCTCCATCGGCATTATGAACAAAGTTGTTGCAATTTTCATGTAGGTGGATTTATTGTTTGCTTTCCTCTCTTGTTTCGCCCTCGATTGTGTGCGAACAGATAAAAGGAGACCAAAACGTTTTATTACAAATAAATCAATCTTTAATCAAAGTATGCTTTTCGGATTAGCCGACTTATCCTAGGAAGACATTTTCCTCTTTGCAACGGGCTCGAAGGAATACATTCATTTGGTACGCGTAATTATATTTTCTCTTTCATTCTTTGATTAAGGGATTTGGAGATTTTGATACGTTGATTTTCTTTAGATATGGATATTAATAGAAATATAATGAACAAGTATTTCTGTAACATAAGTATTATTATTTCCTTATTTATATCGTATTATACATGACTTCACAAAATTAGATTAATTAGTTACATAAATTAAAGCTTATGTCAGCCGCGTATGTTATAACTTCTCGCAGGTAAAATAATTTTCATAATCCGACAAATATTTCCGAAGATTGCCCCTACAAACAAACAAGCAAAGGTTGTTTGTTTACCTCTTCACTGTTTTTAGCAATAGATGATATCGTAAATCTTCTTAAAGTTCTAAAAAGTCTTTATCTCCTTCAATACTTTATAACGATACGACTATTCAATATTTATTTCATTCATTTTTTTTAGAAAATTTTGGCATAGCTTCCATTCGCATGTAGATCCATAATAAATATTGACAATCGCATTTTTATTGTGTCCGTCCCCAGATGACCCATATCACAAATATCGGGAGGGTCATCGCGAGATTTACAACTTTGGCCCCCAGTGACGAAGCGACAAAACTATGAATATGGACAGACTCAATCCTAGATATTGCCTATTATATTAACCGTATGTCTCATAACTCATGCTGATTTTCAGATAAACAAAAAATGTTTTATTATACCACCATGAAGAATTTATTGCAAACATCATTGAGATATATATCTTATCTGAAAGAAATGATATCCATAGAATATTTTGATATACTAATATGTCATTTTTTATGTAGTAGAGAGGCGTGATAGGTTTTAGGATAATTTTACTGAATTTATTAAGTAAAATTATATAACAGAAATTGCTTTTAGCAATAAAACAGCCTTTGCCCACCTTGGAGTTGAAAAATCTTATGTTAACTTTCTGAGCTATTAAGGGTTATATCTATAAATCTTTTTATTAATAGATAATATGTTTATTAGAAAATAGCATTGCCCAGCTATTATTTACGGGATTGGTACTACGTACATTGTAGCAATCCCGTATAAGTCCATGAAAGCTTAAAACAACATATAGCTATTAATAGATTCTAACTTGAGTCTTTAGACACTGTCGCCTAGCTGTTGACTTTCAAAAAATTTTACTGTATTAATTTATTGCACAATTAAAAATATTGTGTACAATATTTGCCTTGTCACTTGACTTCGATGTTTCCTTACTAAATTTTTCAATGTGTATACATTACAGAAATGACTAATATTATCAATTGGGTAAGTCACAAACAACTCCTTGATTTGTATGGCTACCCTTCTCATACTCAGAGACGTATCTTAGAGAATAGTTTTGCCAAAACGTCTAACAGGATAAAAGAAATTGATATATTGACATAAAAGCAAAAATATGTTCAGTGTTTATTACTAAAAAAATCGTATCGATACGTCATAGCCGTCACTCTGCGATCGCCTCTTGGGTATTGCATAAAAACTCTCGGCTGCCTACCCTATACACGAACCTTACACACTTGATGGAACGTAAAAAACTGTTTATATCCAAAAATACATATAATTATATACAGCTTCCATGTTTTTCAAAAATATCATAACTTTGTGCTTCTAAAAATAATGAAGTCCCAAAATACTATCTTTTTATTACACCTTTACATGTAAGACAATAAAATAAAAGTAAAAAGTAAATACATCAGTTATTATTTATTATTAGCAAAGTTTCCCTTTTGTAAAATTGATAAAATTGGGATTTTGTTTATTTTAATTAATTGCAACCTAAATATTTATTATAATCTAAGCAGTCTTTAATGCGATAATCATAATTTCACTGCCTTCGAAATAACAAGTTAAAGGAAATCCATTATAAAATATATTATTTTAAGTTATTACAGCTAATTCCATAATAACTGACCTCCGTGGATTCACATCATGATTTTGAAGGGCCTCCATATTTGGGCTTTCTGGTTGGATTTCCAATGGAGTCTTTGTAAAAAATTAATTTTTCTTTATTGTGTGATATAGCACTTGTGGTTTATGCATTGTTTTCAAATTTCTATAATACACTTTATTTTATTTTAGCTTCTTAATTTATAATTTGAACATACTGTTAATACATGTCTAATATTTATTATTATGGTAATTTTATCGGTCACTTTTACTGGTCAAAAATAAAGCGTACGGATAACAATAAAAAATACCGACAGTGAAAAATTATCTTTATGATACGAAGTTTAGCAAGTATGAATAAACGTTCGATCACGCGAGTCGCGCTGATATGAATATCGATGTATGCTCCCACGAGACCCTTACGTGGACAATCCCTCTCTGTAAACGGTGAAAACCCAAACTATTTTCACTATCAAATAAGCATAATTTGAACAATAGTTCAGAAAAGAAGAGACATATTTTGTTTGTGTGTCCGATGGGTAGTTTTCTTATTTTTTTCGTAATAAATTACGGCAATATACTGGAGTTGAAATGTCGAATGACGTCACGCCTTTGTACTTTTTCAACATAGTTGTGATGTAGCGAGCCGCTATTTCTTGTTAATTGAAGAAAATAAAAATACTCAGCATTTTTCCATTACCCGGCTGACGGACTAAATAGGCTTTTTTTTCAGTTATCATTCCTATTCGCCGCGAATCAACATGTGTTTCCAGTTAAATTCTCAATTAAGTTTAAAATTAATACTTGCTAACGTTTAATATATAACTTATCGTGTCTCATTGCGCATAGTTCTAGACAGGAATTTAACAATCGATAAGTGTAGAGAATTAAACATACAATGTTAAAAGCACTAATACGTGGTGTTTTTTTACCGAATACCGGACCAAATTCACCGAATCCAATTCTTATTTATTCAAAAAACTGAATGTTTTATTACATTTATAGGAACCGTCAAATTCAACCGAGAACATATATCAGCATTAATATTATATGAGAGGAGGAAGTTATTTCCCTAATGTGGCCGTTAAGCAAAATATATTGATAATTATTCCAGTTAGTCTTCGTGAATATTCCATTCACATCACATTTGATAGTATCTCAGCATTAGAAATGAAAAAATCTGGTTAGAATACCAAGCATTGTCAAATAAATTAGGGTTGGGTATTTTATCTCGATTTTATTCTATAAGTGTCAGATATTTATTAAACTATAAGTAATAAATGTGAACAGTGAGTATTCCCATTTTCTCACCGCCGATGTTTCAAGTGTTAATTAATTTTCCTCTTTAGGTTTATCAACAGTGGTATCGGGAGCGGCATTTTCATTGTTAGCTGTTTGCCCGTCGGCAGTTTGTTCATTTTCTGCTAATGTTGCTGCTTCAGCTGGCGTGTCACCTTCTACAGGTGACTCGCCACCACCTCCTTCAGCCGTATTGTTGGATACAGTTCCCGTTCCATTTATTCCAGCTACGTTATCACCTGCCACTTCAGTTCCATTCTCGGAAATTGATAAATCATTTAATTTTGTTGTGTTGTCGGACTGATTTTCACCGAAATATTCGTAATTGTCATTGGTTATTGACTCTACTGATTCTAAGTTCTTTGTTTGAGCCCAAATAGGTAATTTTGTCGTAGGTGCTCCATGTCGCCACTTTGTAACATTTGTTTTTTTACTCGTATATTTTGCCTTTACACTATTACGATAACATGTGCAGACGCACTTTTTGTCAGCATGGGCTACGTCGTAACCCAAGTCTATACATTTCTGAACACATAAAAATGCCATTTCAAAGTTATGACATTCTTTAGTTCGATGAAATCCATAACGAAGAATTTTTTTATTAGTTGCTGAAAATTAAAATTTATAGGTTGCTTAATTTATATATTTTTTTTTTTATTAAAGACACAGGACGAGAAAACTGTTACCAAAGTAATACTTTAACGTTTATCAACTGCATACTTACTTGTTGGCAACGAAGTTGCTAATAATTCAGCGAGATTGACTGCAAATAAATAACTCCATTAAAATATTTAATTTATTTTAATTCACCTGAAATTGAATAGAGAAAATAAGCCATAATTCACGTGAGACCAGTGCGGATAAGTGTATGTTAGTGGCTGCAAATGTGGCTGGAATTTGCGGTTTCTTCTAAAGCACGGAGAAGTTCATGAAGAGCAAATTTTTGGTCACCGATTCTATTCTGTAGTAATAAAGTTGTGAAGAAAAATCAACCGACGAGCTACTACAGCTATCACTAAGTAGATATAAAGCATGTCTCTCTTACCCACTATAGAGTCACCGAGATTAGTAACTGCCACACTACTATGAAACATCAAAGAAAGTGACAATAAACAAAAAAGTACAACATTTTGAACAACTATTAAAATTAATGGACATAATTGGCATTTTAGATTTACATTTTTAATCGTCTTCATTTTGAAACTGGATCGATTTGAATGTAAAGTGTTTATTATGAATCTCATAATAAAAATTTACGTTACATTAATCGATTTCCGTTTACACCTTTGAAATCAATTTAGCTACTTTAAAATGGCATGAAATTAAATTCAGTAATAAAGAAGAGATTACTTTATTAAATATCACGTCCATAATATAGCAATTTAATTATAGAGCAGAGCTTCGGTTTTGGCCACCGCTCCCTTTTCGGCCATTTGGAATTTCAAAGCCTTTTCAGTAACGCTTAGGCAAATATATTACTTTGCAATAGTAAAACTGTTGACAGCTGTGATGTGAAGTTCAATTGCTCGTAACTTTTGAAACAGTCAAACCATGTCATATTTTAAAATGGCCAACACCGAGCCATCTGCTGTATATCATCATAGCATATTATTGTTGATTATCTGATATGTCTTCTCCGTTGACAAAAATACAAGTAACCATAACCCACTATGAGGGTCCAATATAAATTTGGGTTAACGACAGCAGATGTACGTAAATGAAACCAACGTCTCTTCCGAAATACGAAATGCTCTAAGGTTAAAAGTTTTTCACCTACGGAGAGCTATATCCAACGCGATTGACATAGGCTATAATTTACGCGAGAGAACACGCGGGCTACAGTAGTATATATAACTGAAAGCCTTTGACAAAATAAGGAAAATACCAAATGTCAAACGTAGTTAAATAAAAGTATAATAAAACAAACCGCACGTTGAGAATGACAATGTCAATAACCAAAAACGACGTATTTTTTCCTATTAGCAAATTTTTTCTTAGTTAAGTATAAACTTTAAAATTCAAATATCCCTGTGAGCGTAGTTTGCATAGAAACTGCTATGTGACGTTGTGACGATACGTTGTTTAGAGGGGTGGATTACAATTTCTTGAACTTTAAACGCTCATTACTGAAAATCGCATTTTTTGCATTGTGTCACTATCGTTCTCAGCGTACGAAACCTTGACTTTATATCCATAAAGACCACTCGACACCAATTCGTTATAATAGGTTTCTATATGTCCTTAAAACTATACAAGTTAGGACGTTTGCTGTTCAGTATCGTAATAAGGTGTGAAAATAAAACCGACTTCAAAAACGTGAGAAAAAATACTCAACCTAAACGCGGTATATATGCTCATGATTTTTTTTTAAATCGGACGAAGATTTTTTGAAGTTCGTTAATATTAACCTTCCAACATCAAAAAATCTCTAGGATAAGTATTATATATCACATTTATCAAGTTGGTTTTATTTTTTAATATACTCGTATCTTAAATAAAATCCCAAGAAAATGGATGTAAATTTATTTGTTTATTTATTGCAGGTTACCATCGACGTGTTTATGCTTCCGCAACTGTTGTTATTTCTTCTGCTTGACCCTCCGTTACTGCTTCTGTAGTCCCATTACCAGCATCTCCTCCACCAATAGTTGAATTCCCTTCAGCGACAGTTGTATTACCAGCATCAGTAACATTAAAACGTGCACATCTATCTTCTGTCACATTGGCAACTTCAGTAAAATCTTCGGTATCTTCACCAGAATATGTAGCAGGAGACAGCGTACCAACAACGTGGTAAAGTTGTGGGCTAAAGGTCTTTGGCAATTTCCTTGTAGTACCATTAGTTCTCCACATAAAGAATGGCACCACAGTCGTCGTTTTCATCACATGACATGTGCATTTACATTTCCAATCCATGCGAAATACTTGGAAACCGATACTTTTACAAGCGGTGAGGCATTTGAAAATTTTTACGTATTCTTTACATTTATGATAAAAACTCAAGCCAAAGTGCTTTCGAAAATCTTCTAGCGTATCTGGAATTTAAGTTTTTAATTCATCAAAAATCATATCGGTAAATAAAGTTGAGGTATAATCACATGTGTTGTCCATATCAGAAATTAAAACAGTACTAGATTTTAACAAAACCTAGAGTTGATTTTGGAGTCCGGGGTCATATTCTTAAATCTTAGCTATTCCGGAAGAAAATTTAAAATATGTAAAATCATAAAGTACTTAAGCGTCGTAAAGGTGATAATACATAGTTACCATCTAATGTATATATAGATGCGCACAGCAAAAGTATAGCGACTAGCTTCATTTTAATTACAAGCTTTTAGGTCATGATATATTATTATCCAAAAAATGAAAATATGATTAATACTTGTTTATGGCATTCATAAATATTTACGACAATATTAATAACTGATAAGAAACTCCGGCAGTTTCATTCGACATAGCATGCCATGGAAATTAAGTACACGGATATAAATATCACCAGATATTCAATCGAATAATTTTAGTACTCCTATAATTCTCTCGTAACACAATAACTGACCTATGCATATCTTTTCCACAAAATCCACGAATTTATAAAGGACATCGAATATACTCTTTGAGCCTAAATTAGCATTCGCCTAAAAACATTAGGTATCAAATCATTTGGTTGTATATCTGCCCATCCGTCGGCAATAGCTGATTTTCTCTGAAATTACTTATTGAGTTGTTTGGTACTCATATGTAAGTTTGCTATCGTGTAATATAAAATAAACTCAAAAATGGAAACCGTTTATGAGGTAATTGTTAATAAATTTAAAAAAATCGTAAAAAATTGTGTGTTACATCAAATGAACGGATTATTATGATAATCCCAAATATGATATATAACTATTTAGTTTTGAAGATATTTTTGCAAATTGGCGAAAACTGATCATTGCCCTTGAGTTCCAAAATCAGAGTACTAAAATTTTGATTATAAAGGCAGTTCTTTCATTTAATATTTATGCATACTCTACGCACGACATTCCAAATCGTCTTGGTTGACTTTTTTCTACGTGTAACTTAATTGAACTGTGCTGATTCTCTTTTAAATAAAAAATCTGTTTGTATATATTTTGTGCTATTACCATGTTACCGACGATGTAAGACAACGCACGATGACGCGACGGACTAGCCGGTGTTTTTCCTCAGTATGGTCCTGTAAATGCGGCATTATTTCTTAACATCCCGCTCAGTGGACTCCTAACAGCTAATTAATAAATCAGGAATGTGATAATGACATCGGTGCACATTCATCCCGGCCCTGAGACGGAATTCTGCGAACCAACTTCTCTATGGCCACCCAAATGATGATTTCATTATCTGTATGATTTTGATTGATGTAGCAAAAGAAATTTGGGACAGCCAAATTCCTACCATAACAGACATATTTTCTTTGTTTATTACTTGGAACCAATTGATCTGTGGCGCCATAGTTTTTACTTTCTCAAAACTTGAATTGATGAAGGTATTTATAAACAGAATTAGACAAACCGCATAATGATTCCTATAGGTTTAGATATTGTTGTATTTGACAATGACGATTGAATTGCTATGAAATAGATGTATGAAAAAACACAACACTTATACCTGCATTAAATATTCAAAATATTTGAATTTGTACATTTGGATTTGGATTAAGATTTTAATGAATGAAATGTATAGTTCGATTCGAAAAAGCTATCAAATTTATTAGTACGTGTGGTGAAAATTGTGTAACCACATATACAATCGTGAGATCGTGTGCGACCGGCGACCATGCAACCGCGCAGGCGACGTCACTTAGAAAAAGCCGATTCATTATCATCAGCGGCATCCACCACGAGAAACATTATGGGACATAATTTTGTCTTCGGACGTCACTGATCATATAAATCAGCGAGCCGATTCATAATCATACTCATTTACGGATATGTTGTCCACAATCTTCATTTAATAATTGTACGTTTATTACATACCTTGATTGATTTGTAAATGTAAAAAGCTCGTAAAGTTTTCTTGTTTATGTATAATCGGATAATAAAATAGACATTGGAAAGAGAAAGACGGCGCGTGTCCGAGACCAGAGGTGACAAGTCCCCTCGCTTACGCCAACTACGGTACAAATTGCGATATTAAGCACAAGGCGTGATGAAAAAACACAAGCTGAATATAAATTAGGCGGGAGAAGCGCTATAATCAATATAAACGATGCCGAGGAAGATTAGAAAAATCCTGTAAGAAAACAAATTTCACAAGATCGAAAGGTGTGGAGGTTTGTCACTGGTAGATTTGTGTTCGTTTTTATTTATCAAACAAAAAGATATACATATATTGAATTATAGGAATTAACTTTATTATAGTTCCCAAAATATGTTAATTAAATCACCAATAATTTCAAAATAAAACGTTAACTAATGACTACGTAAGTACGACATAGTTTAATCATAGATCTATAGATTTCGTTCTACTTAAATAATTTTTAATACTCATCGTTATATTCTCTCGTACGGATGCCATTTTTGACCATCACATAAAAACATATTGATATCCGACCGATATTACGTCATTATAAATTAACGTCTAAATGTTTCTTACAGAAAACTTTTTGCATCACTCCTTCAACCCATTTAAGGATAAGTTGCAAATATATGAAGAATGTCAAAAGAGAAATGATTGAAATATGCCGAAATACCAGCGGGACGTCGCCGACGTCGAGACCAAAAAACTCGTGCTTCTGAAGTCCGGCTTCTTTTGATGGGGATATTAAAATACATAATAATGATGACAGTAATAATAAAATTCAAACTTTCAATAGGCTATAAAAATGAATAAGCATCGACGTATGTGGACGATCAATCTCCATTGGAGACTAAAGTAGATATTGATAAAACTGCAAATAATGCTAACATAAACATTTAACGAGTATTATATATACGTAATCGTGAAATTGACGGATCATTAATTTCAATTACAATCACTTATAAAGATAAGAATAAAAAGTACAATGTAAGTTAATTAAAGTTTTTTATAATAATATAGTCTATCTATATATTCTCTTATATAAATACATCAACTTTTAATTGTCAGTAAAATAGAACAAAAATTAACAAAGGGAATATCCACTAGCACCTAACGTCACAAGCGTTAAGACAAAATGGTCTTAAAAATCGAGTAAAAAATGCAAAGACGAAATTGAATTTGATTCCAATACATAAATTTTACTTAGACTATTTGTCTCTCGGATCAAGCGAGGAAATAAGCCGATGTTAATTAAATTTGTTTGTCCGAAACAAAATCACCGACTGTCTTTTTAATTGTTTCTTTTCTCTTATTGGTTGTTGGAAGAAGAATGTCTTTTATTATACCTTCTTCCTAATTTGTGAACGTATCATGTAATATACAATGTATAATGAAAAAGCTAGACTCAGATATTAAGTGCTTTATTTATTTTAGAATGTCATACAGATAGTCAAAATATTTGCTTGAATCACTAACTAATCACCAAAGTCTTTAGAAACTGAGTATTCAGCCAGAAATTTTCTGTAAGTTATAAAATGATAACATTTAATATCTGTTACGTTAACATGTGTATACAAAATAAATAAATAAATAAACGAATAAGTGCAGAGTATTTCTCAGTTTCTTCAATACTGAATTCAGTTATAGTTTTAAAAAAAACATTATTTTTAATGATACTTATATTTTTTGTATAGGCGTCACTAAATATAATAAACATCTACTTATTTCAAAAATTACATTCATGATAACAAAGGCCAGGAGATTTAGTTTATTTGCACAACAAATAAAATTTTCTTATACATATTTGATATGAATCGGTTCACAATTTGAATCACTTAAAAATACTTTTTTTTTGTATTTTCGATAATATTAATACGTCATCTACGTAGGTAATTTTTGGTATTTGACAACATACTTTTAGTTATTTTATCATTTAAACAAAACTACTAATAAAAAAGCTATCTATTAAAAAATTACATAAAAAATTTTTTTCAAATGAGTCATGAATTTGCGGAATAATTGCTAAACAGATACATAAATATAAAAAATATGCATTAGAGAACCAGTTTTAACCATATTGCCAGTTATACCTCGAATGAAATCAGAAGAAGTTGCATAAATGTTCATATGTTGCTTCCCTTAGATCGCACCACGAAAAACCTTGTGTACTTTTGGGAGTCTGCCGTTGCGTGGCCCCGGCACGTGTGATACACATTTGAAAGGAGGTTGCACGCATTCGCAATCTCAAACCATACTCATGCCCAAACCCATTCACTCAGGTGTCAGAATTCACTACAAAAGCGGCATCCACTAAATCTTGAATTGGTAATAACATTTCGTGGCATAAGTGAAGTGAGTTCTCTAGTTTCTACTGCTGTTTCTACTGCTGTTTCTACTGCTAGTTTCTACTGCTAGTTCTACTTCTTCATCAACTCCAGTCCTCCGGAGCTTCGTGGACCTTCGGTGCTGCTGACCGGAGCTGACGTCGGGTCTACACCCTTCTCAGCCTCTGCCCGGCCCGTGACGCCGAACCCGCGAAGTCCTCACTAATTGCAAAACTTAAAAGCTAAGTCCTCCCCTCGTAATTATAGAAACAAGAACCATAACGAGCGAATATCTTAACCTACCCCCTGAGAACTAAAATAAAGATTGTTAAACTTTATTATTACTTTTATTCTTTATACCTGAAGCCTGGGGGTGCTTCACACCCCCCATCTACAACCCAAACGCTTCAGTGGCGCCCGGCTCGCTCAGGATTTCGCTCGCTCTGTGGTTCTTGTTTATTTCTAATTTTTTTTCTTTTATTTTATTAAAAAGTGGGTAACAAGTTTTTCCTTTTTGGGTGTGATCTCGACTGATCTCACACTCATTTTAGAGTC